TTGTATTCCACCTTAAATAGTAGTAAAAGGCATCATATTCGAAGTACCTTTTGGCCATTTTTCCTTTATATTTTTTTTGAAGTGGTTCACAGAGAGGCTGAATGGAAATTGGAACAGGGGTTGGGGGTGGGGATTCATATCACGTTTTTTTGTTTTTCATTCTCTGTCTCCAGGGCATTATAGCAGCAAAATCCCCTTGGGGATGTCCTGATGAGACACTGGGAGCTGTATTTTGTATTTGGTAATGGTTAGTGAATAGCCATGATAAGACATGTCATGTTGTCAGGCTTCCTGTGCCTCGGGATGGGTACTTTTAGGAAATGATTAAGGTTTCCTGCATTTGTCTGTCTTGAAGTATGACAAGCTGGAGGGACTAGGGCATGTCTGTCTCAATAGATCCTGTTACTACTTAAGGCTTTGCCTTTTCCACTGTAGGAAATGTAAGAAAATGTAAAACTTTAATACATTGTATTATTTTTATTACAGTTTAATTTTTCATTCAAGTATAATGTTTGTATGCTCTCAATTACAGTTCATAGAAAGCAAGAAAATCAGAATTGGCCAAAATCTAAATCTGCAGGTCAGACTTTTAAAAAAATCAGAAATCAGAATTGACCAAGAAAATTGAAATTGGTGCATCTCCAGTAGCAACCTACTGACTCATAATGGAATGTATGTCCAGCGTTGTCACTTCTCAAGTGTTACATTTACGGTGTGTGAACAGAGACGTACTTGTTTAGAGGTAGAATAGAGTCTTCAGTGAGTGGACCTGTGGGCAAAGCAGCAATGATGTCACATTTTTGCAAGTTTGTTTTGTGCAGCAGAAAAGCAAAGTGGAACAAGCCTTGTTAGCCTTTTAAGTTATGGGCATGGGAACATGGGAAGATCCAGGTTATGGCTTGCTAAGCCCCCATAGTTGAAAAACATCATGGATAAACCACAGAGGCTAATTTCTATTTGTACTAACATGAAAATAGACCAGAATGCAATGCAAGGTTTGGTTTTTAGGCGAGGATGTGACTGTTATCACAAACAAACCTCAGTGTTTGCAGACTGATTAGACGGCTAACTAATGGATCTGATGCAACAAAGCAGTTTTTGGGTTTCGGAGCCTTCGAATACTCTACTTGAATAGCAGCATTAACCTCGCATTGGCCGAGCTGGTCGTTATACAGCAGAGAAGAAACTTCAGCATTTCGGGGACATTTTAAAATAAGCGATGACAATAAAAATAAAGCCAACTGCAAGCTCAGCTTCTCTGTTGTGTGTGTGTGTTTCTGTGTGTGTGTGTGTGTGCGCGCGCACGCGTAAGTGCCCCTCCCTCCCTGTCAGGCATGAGGTCACATTTTATATAGACATCAGCACTGTGCAACAAAACCAACAATAATGGAGAGTAATTAATCACACACCTGTTGAAGAAACATAACAAACCTGCAGGAAT